ATGAATGGAAAACTGCTTTCAAAACTAAATTTGGTTTATATGAGTGGTTAGTTATGCCTTTTGGATTGACTAATGCACCTAGTACTTTCATGAGACTAATGAATTAAGTTTTGCGAGCTTTTATTGGACGATTTGTGGTAGTATATTTCGATGATATTTTGATTTATAGCAAGTCACTAGAGGAACACTTAGACCATTTGCGTGCTGTTTTTTCTGCTCTGCGTGCTGCACGTTTATTTGGTAATATCGAGAAGTGCACTTTTTGCACGGATCGAGTCGCTTTTCTTGGCTATGTTGTGACAGCGCAGGGAATTGAAGTTGATAAAGCCAAGGTTGAAGCGATCCAGAGTTGGCCGACCCCTAACTCGGTCACACAGGTACGAAGTTTTCTCGGACTTGCTGGGTTCTACCGGCGGTTCGTGAAGGATTTTAGCACCATCGCAGCACCGCTCAATGAACTCACAAAGAAAAATGTGCCATTTGTTTGGAGCGACGCACAAGAGGAAGCCTTCACTATTCTTAAAGATAAGCTTACACACACCCCTTTGCTGCAATTACCTGATTTCAATAAGATGTTTGAATTAGAATGTGATGCTAGCGGCATTGGTTTAGGTGGTGTTCTATTGCAAGAAGGCAAACCAGTAGCATACTTTAGTGAAAAACTCAGTGGGCCTAGTCTGAATTATTCAACATATGATAAAGAACTTTATGCACTAGTTCGGACTTTGGAGACATGACAACATTATTTATGGCCTAAGGAGTTTGTTATACATTCTGATCATGAATCACTCAAGCATATTAGAAGTCAAAGCAAACTGAACCGTAGACATGCAAAATGGGTTGAATTTATTGAATCTTTTCCTTATGTTATTAAGCACAAGAAAGGGAAGGAGAATGTTATTGCCGATGCATTGTCTAGACGCTATACCATGTTATCACAACTTGACTTCAAAAATTTTGGACTTGAAACTATAAAAGAGCAATACGCTAATGATGTCGATTTTAAAGATATATTGCTCAATTGCAGAGAGGGTAGAACTTGGAACAAGTTCGTCATTAATGACGGATTTGTTTTTCGCGCTAACAAGCTATGCATCCCAGATAGCTCTATTCGTCTTTTGTTGTTACAGGAGGCGCATGGAGGAGGACTTATGGGACATTTTGGCGTCAAGAAGACAGAAGACATCCTTGCTAGTCATTTCTTCTGGCCAAAAATGAGAAGGGATGTGGAGAGATATGTTGCACGCTGCACGACATGCCAAAAAGCTAAGTCACGATTGAACCCACATGGTTTATATATGCCTCTTCCTGTTCCTAGCACTCCTTGGGAAGATATATCTATGGACTTTATATTAGGACTGCCTAGAACACGACGGGGGAGAGATAGTATATTTTTTTGTTGTCGATAGATTCTCTAAGATGGCACATTTTATACCTTGTCATAAAAGTGACGATGCTACTCACATTGCTGATTTGTTCTTTCGCGAAGTAGTTCGTTTACATGGTGTGCCACATACAATTGTTTCTGATCGTGACACAAAATTCCTTAGCCACTTTTGGAGGGTGTTGTGGACAAAATTGGGGACTAAGCTTTTATTTAGTACTACATGTCATCCTCAAACTGATGGTCAAACTAAAGTGGTTAATCGTACATTGTCTACTATGCTTAGGGCTGTTTTGAAGAAGAACTTAAAAATGTGGGAAGAATGTCTACCACATGTAGAGTTTGCTTATAATCGTTCCGTTCATTCCACCACAAAATTATGCCCTTTTGAGATTGTTTATGGATTTATACCTCGTGCACCAATTAATTTATTACCTATTCCATCTTCGGAGAAGGTAAACCTTGATGCTAAAGAACGTGCTGAATTAGTATTAAAAATGCATGAGATGACTAAGAAAAATATTGAACGCATGAATGCCAAATATAAACTTGCTGGTAGTCAGGGAAGGAAAAGTCTTGTGTTTGAACCAGGTGATTTAGTATGGTTACATTTGCGAAAAGACCGTTTCCCTGATTTACGAAAGTCAAAATTAATGCCTCGTGCAGCTGGACCTTTTAAGGTGATAGAAAAAATTAATGAGAATGCGTATAAGCTTGATCTGCCTGCAGAATTTCGGGTTAGTCCCACATTTAATGTTGCAGACTTAAAACCTTATTTGGGAGAGCATGAAGAGGTACCGTCGAGGGCGACTTCCATTCAAGAAGGGGATGATGATGAGGACATCTCTGTCACAGTTGCACCCACCGCGACATCAGTTATTTCATCTGGACCTATGGCTAGAGCACGAGCGAGACAGATAAATGACCAGGTACTATCGCTCCTTTGTACATATGATTTAACTAATGAGAATATTATATTACACTCATGTTTGGATTTACTTGTACTCAGGAACGAAGGTGTTGGAGAGATAAAGAGGAAAAGCCGCATGCAGATGGAAGATGAAAAATGTTGCACGTTGATTCCACAAGCAGCAACACTACTGACATGCAAGAAGGTACCTAGCCACGTACGTGCTGAAGTGCAAAAGGAGGAGAAGGAGTATTAGGCTTCCTGGACCGGAGAAGGCCACGTCCGCGTGCAGCCCACACCGTCAACAACTAAACAAGGAAATAAACTACATGTGGGCCGGCTCATGATTCTGATTTCTTTCAAGTCGTAGCCGACCAGGATTCGTCTACGCGCAGGCGGTCATACTCTAATAAATAGTTAGCTACTGTTAGGTTTAGATCTCGGGTTTTATTGTATTGTCTAGCCATCGCTACGATTCGCATCTACGAGACGTGTAGGACTACCGCCTTGTCAGATCCACAGTGGAACCCCAACCTTTTCATCTAGTTCGTGTGCTCAGTTTATTATCCGCAATTTCAGTTGCAATTCACCTTTGTTCTTGCCGGTTCTTCGGTTGCTTGCAGGAACTCGAACCTCGTTGTTCAGGTTGATCGTGCCTACGGCAAGGTCAATAACCATCGGAGATTGATTTAGCGATTATCGAGGCGTATCGTCGGGTATGGTGTAGCCGGGTCGTCAAGGTCAAAATCCACCAAATCGATAATTATCCCCACTCTCATCGAAAGATTGGGCCGCCGTCACATCACATAGGAACATGTATAAGTCATGAAGAAAGCAATAGCAGTAAACTAAAACGATCAAGTGCTAAGCTAACGGAATGGGTCAAGTCAATCACATCATTCTCCTGATGATGTGATCTCGTTTATCAAATGACAACTCATGTCCATGGTTAGGAAACATAACCATCTTTGATCAACGAGCTAGTCTAGTAGAGGCATACTAGTGACATTTTGTTTGTCTATGTATTCACACATGTATTATGTTTCCGGTTAATACAATTCTAGCATGAATAATAAACATTTATCATGAAATAAGAAAATAAATAATAACTTTATTATTGCCTCTAGGGCATATTTCCTTCAGCAGATGGCATGACACATTTTGTCGGACTGGACGCACAAACGTGTGCCAAGAGGAAACATTCCTGTGGGCCGATGAGGACATCGGTTTCTTTGGGCGGGGGTGTATGTGATACCTCTGCTCTCTGGCTTAACTGTGGCATCCCTAAAGAGCGGATCCTTAATTAGGTGGGTCAACCAATTAATTTCGAACCAAACCAATGACTGGAACATGCCTCTGATTGACTCCCTGTTCCTTAATTTTGACGATGAAGAGATTCTCAAGATCAATCTCACCTCAAGTCCAGCTAAAGATCAGATTGCAAGAAACACCAAAATAATGGCATTCTGGCTTAATAGGGATGATAGACTACTCATATCAATAAGGAATTTCTTCTTTTCCGAGAGCCCATTCGGAAAGAGCTGCCAAGTTAAGCGTGCTCATCTTGGAGCAATTTTAGGATAGGTGACTGACTAGGAAGTTGGTCCCAGGTGCACACGAGTAGGGACAAAGTGCGCAGAAAAGACTAGTTTTGATCTGTGGGGCCAGTCTAGAATCTGTCAGGAGTAACAACCAGTAACCGACAGGTGTGTTCGAAGCGTTACATTGTCGCATAGCTTTAGCCTTGACCCGATCCCACCACCATCAGAGGATGAGACCACCCGGACGGCTCATCGCCGGCGAGACACCTTAAACAACAGGTTGAAGCACCAACATAGATGCCTCCCTTTTGTCTCGACGACTTGGTGGAAAGAAAGGGGCCAAAATTGATCACCAGAGCTCCGGATGGCCGACCTTCGACTAGGAGATGTGGCAACACGTTGTTGAGGACCACAAAGAGCCTGGTCGTAACTTCCTCATATGTGCTATCGAGATTGATCTCCAAGGACGAACATGGATGCTTCGTCGGCAGCTTGACCCCCTCCCTCCCACTTTTCCGTCCACCACCACGGCAGCCTTAGAGGGAAGTAAGGAAGAATAAGATCGAGCTACATATTCGAGGATCCTGCAAGCTTATTTAGAGGGTGACAGAGAAGGCGTCTCCCACCACATTTAGCTCCCACGAAGGAGCACCGTGGCCAGGAGGAGCATCACCGTGGATATCCAGTTGCAACTCGTCTTCGTCGACCTCCAATACCCCATTGGCATAGTGCCAGTTGCCGTGACGACAAGTCCAGGCATCCGCCTCCAGCACTATTATTCTCTCCCCTTCCTCTTCGAAGGCAGACAAAAGAGCAACACACAATCCGCCAACTCGAGAAAAGGAGAGGGAAAGGAAGGGGGTGAATGAGGGGTGCGCTGATGGTGTTGTGATGTTTCAAATGGGTCACATGTAACTCTGCCACTATCTAATCCAGCGCGCCGAACGGTAAACGAACGGCCAAGATTGCGCTTGGCTGAGAGCTCCACCTGCGCAGCACCATCACCATCTCTCGCCAACGGCGAGGATTGCTGCCCCCCCTTCTTCCCCGTCCGCTTGCCCGGATCACCGACCCAGCTCCGCTCCGCTGTTCATCCCCACCTCCTCCTCGCCGTCGTCCCCTTCCCCTCGCTTCGTCTCCACTTCTCACGCTCACGCACACGGCCATGAACCCTACTATGCCTCCGCCCCCGCCCCGAAACCCTAACCCCTCCTCCTCCTCCATGCCGCCTCCCCCGCCCCCCAAACCCTCACCGCCCGTCCCGTCGGCGCAGCCGGAGGCTGAGGACGAGCCGAGGCCTGATGCCTCGATGGACGAGGCGGACGGGAGTGCTAAACTGAGCTTCTCCTCCTCTATGCCGCCTCCACCGCCACCAAGACCCTCGCCGCAGCCCGAGGCGGAGGCAGCGTCGGAGTCTGAATCGTCGGCCGACGGGAGCGCTAACCCCAGCCATAGCGACTCGTCGGCAGGGGAGGAAAGGAACCCCGGTGGCGACACCGAGATGGCCGAGGCGGCGCCGCCAGAGCAGCGGCAGCAGCCGCGGCCGCGCGTACCATACGCCATCCCCGACTGGAGCGCCGCCCCGGAACACCCCTTCTTCCTCGAGGTGCTCAAGGAAGGCCTCATCCACGAGAACCTTGACGTGTGAGTTGCTGTCTCTGCACCAGCAGTCTTGCGTTTCTCGTCTTGCTGTGGGGCTGCTTACTCTGATGCCTCTGGGGTTTCTAGCTCATGTACGATAGGAGTGGAGAAGGGCAATGCGTGGTTCCTAGTGCAAACGGTTGATAACGACTTAGTTTTATTTCTAAAATCACTCATGGTTTGTAGTTGCGTGAAATGAGTACTTGCATAGCTACATATTTCATGTTTCAATCCAATGCATTGTATTATATGTGGATTTTGAGACCTTCACATTCGAAGTTCATGACGTTGTCTGCTAGTACATAATTAGCTGGACTACTTATTTTCCTAGATATGGTTGGTGAAATGACTGGCATTACATATCGCAGGTCCAAGAAAGGAGCTTACATGTTTGGCCGAATTGATCTGTGCGATTTCGTGCTGGAGCATCCCACCATTTCCCGTTTTCATGCAGGTACATTCATTTTCGCCATGCTCTTGTCAAGTATTGTTCGAAACGGATGCTCTTGTCAACTATGCCATAGATAGAACATTAGAACCAAAACTCGAACTCCAGCTAGCTATTTAATCTAGTTACTAAGTGCAGAGCTAGTATTTTGTAGACCTTTTCAGTTCGAAACGGAAGCAATTACTAATACTTTTCACATCAAGGAAGGTCGTCTGTAACCCCCCACCCCATCTCAGTCAGCTTCATTACATTAACTAGATGTCAGGATGGTTGCAGTTTTCAAACAGAAGTTGGAATTTTGTTTGAAGCAATATACTTAGTCACCTTTTTACTGATTCTTCGGATAGCTGGCTGGAAACTGGTCGCTGATATTCTGAACATTTGGGATGTCAGTGAGCATAAATTTTATTTATGGTGCTAAGATATTCATGAACATATGGGGGATGATATGCGGTGAACTGTGGAACTTTGCTGTAAATAATCCTTTTCTTCAGAGGGTAGTATTTGACTTAGAAAAGCTGTTTTTTAATTAGTAAAATTATATGGATAACCTGCTGGTGAAATAGGGTTGAATCAAGGCATTGACCATGACTGGAATCGAAGGAATTGTTCCACTAATTTGTCTAGGACTTCTATGTGTAGTGCATTGTCCATGTTGTTTTGGCAGAGGTCACAAAGTATATGCACGTGGTTAACTGTATTGAAGTTCTGCAGTTGTTTTTTCTTGCATAAGTATGCCATCTACTATATGTATCATTACATAAAGTGTTCTCTTATGAGCAATTGTTCACTTTCGTTTTATTATCTTCCATTATATTTTTAATAATCTCTGAGTGCAAGTTTTGTGGACATGGGATAATTATTTATTGTTCGTGAACCAGAGATGGTAATTATAGAATCCAAGCATTCACATAATAATAATATATAATATTTTCTTGGTAAGTCTTATGCGTCACACTCATGACTTCTTTTGTGTTATTTTAGTTCTGCAGTTTAGAAATGACGGGCAGGTTTTCCTTTACGATCTTGGAAGCACACATGGTTCTTCCATCAACAAAACTCAGGTATAGTCTCTTTCCTTTTGTCTTACTTCAGAGCAGAACTGAATATTTCCAATTCATCCAGGACTTCTAATATGTTTGTTTGAAAATGTTGATACCATGCAACTATGTGTCCTCTTCTCATGTATGCACCTCATTGTTTCTCGAACACACATTTTCGTATTAAGGAGAAGAGCGTCAATATGACGCAGAATGCATCATTGTTCATGCTATTTTGTTTTAAAGCACTGCAATTTGTGCTGATGGCATTCTTATTCTGTTGTAATTTTGTACATCCATCTACCTTTGGCTTGCTGAGTCACACTATAAACTGGGGAAAAGATATCTGCCATTTTCTGATATTAGAAATAGCAAAAGAGTTGTTTGTGTATCCATTGTTCTTTTCATGCTTAATACACTGCTGCCTTTCTGAGCTAATTTGCTTTTGGGCTATTCCTGTAACATCCTTTTTCCCCAGAAAAGGAACCTTGTATTAGCTTGCCAATGTTGCCGTGCTTGTTGGTTCATGATAGCATAACTACCGTTCTGATCAAGGCAAGAATATTGTTCTGATGTCATATATTTAATTAACAGGTCAAGAAGAAGATGTACACACCGATTCATGTTGGAGATGTAATTCGATTTGGGCAGTAAGTTTGTCAGCCAGACGTGTTATGCATCATTTCTAGCAGAGATTGCAACAAATTGCTTTCTGGTGCTCATTTGTTTTCAAATTGTGTTCTTTTCATCTGACAGAATTTTTAGGTTTCTAACCTTAAATCTGTTCATTTCATAACCTGCTTATTATGTATACTAGCCTTTTCCTTTATAAATTAATAATCATGTGTGGCATTGGCAACTGTTGTGAAACAGTAACATTGGCGAACTGTTGTAAAACAGTAGCAATGAGTTCATGGCTTCAAAGAAAGCTTAACTTTTATTTTTTCGTAGTAAATTATATTGTTACTTATAATTGACTTAATTAACAACATCTGATGGAAAGTTGAATGAAAAGATATGTCAGCCTCATGCATATTCTAAAAAATAATCTAGTAGGAATGTTACTGCATTTTTGTTAGTTTAACAAATGCCCTGAAACTGAAAACGAAATATCAAACAAGCAATTGAAGAAATGAATAAAATGGCACTACTGTTGTATTCATTTGCGCTCTTATCACTCAGTAAATTTGGACTGAACTTTTCTCACTCTTTCTATTATACCAGATCATCACGTTTGTACATTTTTCAAGGACCATCTGAGCTAATGCCTCCAGTAAGATTCTGAAACTCCTTCAGTTGGCTCATCTGCCACTATGCCATATTTGATTTCTGAAGTATTTACTAGCTTGCCGCTGCATTCACATCTTAATCAAAGTTATAGTGATGATGCGACATACAGTTTATTGTTCCCAACTAGCAAAGTGCCTGTGTGTTGGAACGAATTCAAAATAGACTAATACATGTTCACAAACTTGAAAAAAAAATCACCCTGTTTTTGGTATATATCACTAAAAATATGTTGGGTTTCACCCAATTTTATTCCTCTTATCTCTAGCCTACCCCGACTTGCTTGGGACAAAAAGGCTGGGGAGAGACTAAGGAGTTTTCTGCAAATGTGGAGCAGAGTGGCGGGGTCTTTGACTCTTTTCGCAAAAATACTACAGCCTACTTCATATCTGTTAGATGCAGATCAAATGACAGAAATGATGGATGGCAGACACACACCATCATCACCAACTGGGTCTTTTCTAGGAGTAGAATAGAGATTTGTGCTTTTGTTGAAGTGGAAAACACAAATGGGATATACATCATTGAACAGAGTCAACCTCCCCATATTCAGTTGTGTGAGTCTTGTATTTACTTGTTTGTCTCATGTAACAGGAAAAGGATATGCAGAAACTCCGTGATGCTAAGATTCGGCAAAATATGCTTGATCGTGAAGCTTCCCTTTTACGAGCGAAAACTCAAGCAGTTTTAGCAGATGGGATCTCATGGGGTATGTCTGAGGATGCACCTGAAGAAGACGGGGAGGTTAGTTTTTTTTTTTGTTTTTACAAGCATTTGGTTGTGAATATTGAGAATCTTACATTGGTTATTAATCGTATGGAGCCTTTCCATTCTTTGGGTGAGAAACCAACTGTTCCCAAGTTTCAGTTGCATAATTATATATGTTTAGAGATTTTTTCTTTTTTAATTGGTTATGATGGCCCTTGTTTTTTTACTGAACATCTTTTCATATCTTAGGATGAGGCAGATGAGATCACGTGGCAAACCTACAAAGGTCAGCTTACGGACAGACAGGAAAAGACACGCAGCAAATTAATAAAGCGAATGGAAAAGGTAAACGTTTTTTACTGAAGAAACGACAACGACATTATCATACTCAGCATTGCATTTTCTATGTGCAACTACAGTATGAAACATCGAGTGTGGTTGCATTTGAAAAATCACCATTTCTTATAGTGATTTGTATGCACCTATGTCTGGCTCAAATATTACATAATTGCTGTTTGCAGCGCCTTGCCCATCCAATTGTAATTTGGCTGATTTGCGATAATGGCAAAATTTTAGGTTTATAATTCTGTTGCATTATACTTGTAGCCGGTAGTTCTGGTATTGATTTCCATTCATGGGGCATTTGGAGCAGCTGTTTATTTTTGAACTGCACAATCTCATTTCCTCAGTAAAACGATGCTTACATTCTGCATTGCTAGCTCATCAGGGGAGATGTTATTTTGTCCTTTGAGTGACCTACTTACCTGTAACCTGATGCTTTGGTCTGGGTCAGTGGGTTGCATAGTATGTTAGAAAGAAGGAAATATATAGTTAAGTATACACTGCAAAAATTACCAGGGGAGATCCTTTTATGGTTGAGTCAATTTATGGCAAACGCTAAAGAATGTAAATTTCGCTCTAACGAAATGGGATGGGCTTGCCTTCTTTTCCAGCAATGGTGATGGCATAGTCGCTGCCATAGGAATTCACCCACCTGGTGTGTTTCCAAGTTTCAGTAGTTCATCAAGGAGTGGTGGACTAGCATGTCGGGCGTGCATATTGCAAATCGTACTATCGTAGTGCCATGTCATCCCTCACTATGCTTGTTTCTTGGACCATTTGGAATGAGAGAAACACATGGGTTTTCCGACACAAGTCTGCTCCTGCAACCGTCCTTTTGGAGGTCATAAAGGATGAGGCAAAGCTTTGGCGCTCGCGGGCGCTAAGCGCCTTGGGCAAATCTTACCAGGAGAGTAGTAACCGTTGTAATTTTTTAGTCTTCTGTGCAACAAAACTCTCTAAACGATGAGGCAGAGCTTATGCCTCCGTCTTGAAAAAAAGTTTCAGTAGTTCTTCAGCCTGCAAGTGGGACTGACCGTGAGCTGCCGCAAAAAACCTGTTTGATCCCACATCTGTTATGTGGGCTGCCGCGATAACCCGCCTATCAGCGACAGCGAGTACGCGGTGGTCACAGACCCGCATCATCCCACTTCCTGTGTTGGGGGCATTGTGTGCCGCGCCGCCGCCGGCACTCAATGTCGGGGGGCTTAATCTGTGCTGCCATGGTCATGGAGAGGATGGCGTTGCTGCCAACTGCGCAGGCTCATAAGAGGCATGCTGGTGTTGGACGGCCTGCTCCTACTTTCAGCCTGAGGAAGGGTACTGGCCAATGACATCACCGATCTTGGGTGAGGCTGTGGCAATCGTGGTCCATGAATTAGATTCTAGAATCTGGAGGTTGTATGATGGCGAGGTGTTTGGCCTCTAGCGGCGACGAAGGGAAGAACTTTACTGGTGGGGAGAAGGGTGGCCTGGAACGTTGAGGCTTTGCGGGTAGCGTGTGGCGGAATATCTAGCGGATCGTGCAGATGTAAGTGGTGATGCTGTTGAATGCAGATGGGAGAGGGAGCAGCGGTTTGTATGTGGGGATCGATGAGACTGCGGTGGTGCTGCATGAGTATGGTGGCATTTTAACTCCCTTCAGGCCATGCTAGTCTTTATCCGCTGCATCATTTAATCCAGCAGATTGAAATATCTGTCGGACCAACAGGGAAACATATACTGTCTCGTAGTCCTGTCCCCAATTTTTAGGTTGGCGTCATGGACCGGCCTTGTCAGTATTATCCGCTGTATCATATGATCCAGCAGATTAAGCTACCTGTTGGATCGACGGGGTAGTCATATCCCCAGTTTTTAGGTTAGGGTCGTTGACCTGAAACTCTTTGGGTTGCTTTTGCCTTTTCAAATCATCATTTTGAAGAAGATTATGTTAGTATTATCTATCGACTAAATGGTGCACCGTGTTCCAGATGTATGTCTTCTAGGTCTCTGTGAGCACATGTCATAGTAGCCTCAACATACAATCTTGTTTAGTTTAATCGTTAAATCTTCATTGAAAATTTCTATATCAAGAATTATAAATGGGCCTGGGTAGAATCACATATTCACATTTCAAGCACAGAGTTCTCGAGGGGTTTGAGCCTGCAAGCGTGAGTTCTTGTAGAATCCCTCTTTCTGAGCTACCAAGTTCCTTGCATTGGATCTATGTTCTGGGTGGACCAGCTATGTTCAGATGTTCTCTTTAAGGACAGTCCTTTTGAGCAGTGTTATGCTTGAACCTCTGAATTTTGGTTCTTAAGAAAAGTCTGCTCTATGTTCTCTGATATGATTTGCATCTCTGCTTGTCTCAGGTTGCCAACATGAAGAAAGAGATCGATGCAATACGAGTCAAGGACATTTCTCAAGGTGGGTTAACCCAAGGTCAGCAAACACAGATTGCACGAAATGAGCAAAGGATATCTCAGGTTAGTGCATAACAGGTTTTACTTACATTTCTGAATATGCCATCATGGTTTCATTTCTTATTAGAAGATCAATACCAAACCTTTTTTTTCAGATCATGGAGGAGCTAGAAAATCTAGAAGAAACATTAAATGACAGTATACAAGAAAGTCTTGGTGCACGTGCTGGAAAACCAAAACGTGGTAGCCATAAAGCAAGTCTTGAGGAAGAAGATGACGTTATTAGGTTTGCACTTCTGATAGATTTGAATTATGACAGCCACATTCATATTGTGTATCATATCTTAACCTATACTCTAGTTAAGAACAGAGGATGATATTAGAGATATCTAAATAATCTTTTCTCCCTAGTCTGCTTCTCCAACTGACACCAGTGCATGTAAAATTGAAAATTTAATCTAGAAGACTAAGCCCATTTGAAATTTATGGACTTTTAGGGAATGATTGGCACCACTGCACTAGGACATATGTAATTGGAATTTGGAAACTTGTACCATGCTGCCACTTCTGCTTACCTTGAAAAGTCACAATGTACATGTGAGTTTCTCCATGGAGCGTATATAATTCACTTTCTCATTGATTCCGTACAACATTTTGTCAAATAGTCTGATAGAAAGATTCAAAGCTTCTTGTGTTTGACTGGTCAAGTATAGACTACTTCAGTTTCTACTAGTGGCCGTCTGCAAGTACATGCCTATTATCGTATGTTATTCCTTACCTTGGCTGGAGTTATAGCTTTGCATTTTTGTTCTCATGTGCTGATTCATTGATTTTGATTTTTTTTTTCTAGTGACGACGATGAATTTTTTGACCGGACAAAGAAGAAATCATCTAATCCTCAATCTAGCGGGCAACAATCAGTTGAGACTGCTGATAGTCTCCTTGATAAAAAGGATTTCATCAACAATGATATTGAAGGTAAAAAGAAGTTGCTTGAAGAAGAGAAGATTAAGCTGGCTCAGAGAGATAATGCAGATCTTGGGGATGACCTTGATGCTTACATGAGTGGATTGTCATCTCAATTAGGTATGATAGTGCACTCTGAACCATGTAGTTTACACCGATGAATCTTAGACTATTCTAGGATTTTCCTTTCAAGTCCGAGGTGTGAATGGTACCACTAATGACCCTGACTGTTGCCCTTCACATATTTTTTCTGTAGAACCAGAAAAATATTGCATAACGGTTTCATATGTCATCCGTAGTAATTGCCTGATGGTTGTTATCAGTGCATGTGGGATTTGGCTGAAAATCAAGGAAAAGTAAGAGAACTACATGCATTGTGTACTAGCTAAAATGCTTTTTTGAGTGTTTTAGTGGCCTGACCTTTGCTTGAAACTTGACAAGTTGACTTGCTAACTATGACAGCGATGCCCTCAGCTACTTCAAAATATCAATAAGTGAAATGACTCTTTTCTTTGAAAGAGTTGTTAAGGGATCTGGTTAAGACTTGGAAACAAAGTATTTCGGAGTATATTTGCATTTTCTCGGTTAGCAACAACTGAAATTGTCTATATCAGCTTTAAGATCATTTTAGAGTTTAGATTAATAGAATGGAGATGTTAACTCAGACTGGAATAAAAATTAATTGAGTTGTATCAGTGTCTAATTTTTTTCTGCAACTTTGATTTCTGTGACTTGGTCCAAAACATGATTATTTGAGTATCCAGCAAAGCTTATAGCCCGTTTTTCTGTCTGTTTTGAGTATCAGGCTCATCCTTTGTAGATGGATGTACAGAGCCTGAAATTATGTATTCATACACACCTATTACCTGCTTTTCTTTCTGTTTTGAGTATTTCACTGTCTTCTGTTTTCTAATTGATTTGAACTGCTCGACAGTACACGATAATATTGCCACAATTCAAAAGGAGCTTTCTGATCTTCAAGCTGAACTGGACAAAGTAGTTTACCTACTGAAGGTAGCTGATCCTATGGGAGAAGCAGCTCGCAAGAGGGATTTAAAGCCAAGAGAAGGAAACCCTCAAGCATCTAATGATAATCCTAGACCAGAATCCAAAAAACAGGACAAAATTGCCCAAGACAAAACCTCAACGGAGGAGAACTTGAAGGATTCTTTTTCTACCAAAACAGAAGCGGATAAACCTGCTGAGGTAGAAACAGATGTCCCCCCAAACCAAGAAAATGCCAGCAAACCTGCATTCACCATACCAAAACCTCAGTGGCTTGGCGACAAGAGAATCATAGAACCTGAAGAAAATTGTATAAAAGAAGGAAACACGAATGCTGAGGAGCCTGATGATTTTGTGGACTACAAAGATCGGAAAACTATTCTTTCTAATTCAGCCAATGAAAAGGATATTGAAGGGGCTGCTCCTGGGCTTATCTTACGGAAGAGAAAGTCTGCTGATCAGTCAGCTGGCGTTGAAGCAGAATCTTCTTCGGTTGAATCCGAAGCATCAGCAGCTGATGCGGTGGCCCTTCTGCTGAAGCACACACGTGGTTTACAACCTGCAGAAGACATTGAGAACAAGAATGAACCACAGACTAGCAAGAGAAAAGGGAAAAAGTCGAAACAAAAACGTGTACTGGGTCCTGCAAGACCAGATTTTCTTGAAGCTGGTCCAGATCATGAAACATGGGTGCCACCTCAAGGTAAGATTAATTTATCAGTAAAGCATACAATCACCAAATGTGTAAATTTATCCCTTGACAATACTATTGTTTGATTATCTGTAGGTCAAACTGGTGATGGGCGCACTTCATTGAATGATCGTTTGGGTTATTGACGTTTTCTCATCCTAGACTTCACCTGTCACATCACAAAGAGAAACATAGTAGTGATCACCTGTGCTACTGTAATTGGATTGTGAAAACGTGTTCAGAATCATCAGATGGTATCAAGCCTCTTGGGTAGGTGCTTGCGGTATACTGGGACGACACTGGAGTAGAGGCTGACTGACTTAGATTGTCAAATTGTGGTTACTGATCAGAGCATCAAAGGCACATAGACGACAATCATTTTGTTGAGCTTTCAGGACTTTTGTTTGTCGTCACTAGGATTGGTCACTAGGATTGTAGAAGAGAATGTATATCACCCTGTCAAGGTTTCAGAAATGGATGAGGGTGTTGTAAGGTTTTGCTGCTTCTCCGGTAGCAGCCTTTGTCTTGCAGTGTGGATTAATCCTGAACTTCTGTACTTTCTCGGTTAAGCAAAAAAGGTCACGCGTTAAAAGGAATTTTTTTGGAACTTTGAAATTTACCAACAAGAATTATCACGTTTGGTGACGTGAAAATAAAGGCTAACCCAAAATAATGTCATAACACTACAAATAATTTGTGCAATTCTGCATATGAAAATGAGACATTCAAATTTTATTTATGTGACTACTGGTAGAAGTTATCCGCAAACTCCACATGATTGTTCAGGAAAGATGATCAGATGATAAACTACTACGTAGATGGTAAATCTGAGGATAATGGATATCATCAACTAAGCATCGGCATACAATTTTTTGGACATGTTCAGTAAAAGCATTCCACTTCAATTCAACCTAACAAAAATTCCAGGTCAATTTGCATCACTAAATCAATTATTTCCAGCCAAATGTCACAACATGTGATGATATGTTTTAGGCCTTCCCCTTTTTCTACAACCTTCGGCCAGATAAATTCATAGTAGACTAATGAAATATAGGAAGGAAAATCATTGTACTGCATGTAGAGTTGTGTTTCCTGTGGGTTTTCCTTTGATTTTCCTACGTTCCAGAGAGAGCCTTAGTTTTGCTTTCTTTCTTGATGCCTCCTAGTCCTACTTCTGCCAGTATGTGCTACCAAAAGGTAGATGGTGACCATTTGGTCTCACTACCACAAGCGATCGAAGGAGCCTTCCTTTTTATCTGAAGAAGATGGCTAGCAGTGGAATTTTGGAATGGTTTGTTCACAAGTGCCATGGGAATACCAGACTACTCGGCTTATGTATTTGCCCACCTTCCCTTCTCATGTAAATTGACACCTTTGCAATCCTGAACCGCTTCTCAGCTCCTTGCTGCCCTTAAATGATAGCACGCGCAGCACCATGCATGGCTGCGAAGTTTGGATGTCGTCAGCTAAATGGCCCGCAATGCATTAATTTGTGATAAGCACTTATGCTTCACTGCCATTCTGACCAACTCTATATCATGAAATTTGACTGCATTTAATTGTCGGTAAAGTTTCTTTACCTACTGTTCGATGATGTTTTTTATCTAATACATTTTTTTATAGATGCATCCTATTTTTTCCGAAACAGAGGCAAACCTTTTTCCTAAATGTATTGATTATGAAATGTTTTAGACGGTTTAATTACATCACCCACCAAGGGAAATGGCCAAAAGGACAATTCATCTCCCAATTTAAGTAGTGGCCGAAGTATTTCGCACCCACTGTTGCTCGGGTGGCTGCCTCTTTCTTTATCTTTGTAACGATGATTGATGAAATTGTCGTTGTCCTAGAGACCCCCAGCACATTCCAAATCTCCCAAAAGACAAGCATGGTGATGAGACCCATCGCCTTTATGTAATGCTCTCCATATTTGCCCACTAACTTCTCATAGAGATTTCATATGCCCATTGATTAATATCTAGGTTGTTAATCCCATTGGCCACTACTAGGAAAAGGCATACTAATGGCGCACCAGTTTTGCCTACTAATGGCGCATCACTGGTGCGCCATTAGTATCACGCCACTAGTATTTATTACTAATGGCGCACCACTAGTGCGCCATTAGTATATAACACCATGCGCCATTAGTATGCCTCCCAGTGGCCATATTTAACCATGTGCTTTGGCACACTAATGACGCACTGCGGATGGATGCGCTATTAGTATACTTGGCATACTAATGGCGCACTGTTTGGTGATGCGCCATTAGTATACTTTGGCATACTAATGGCGCACTCTGTAGTGATGCGTCATTAGTATGAATATTAGGTTTTTTTTACTTTTCTGATTTTTGCACAGGTTAAAAAATATATTATTTGACAGAATATAGACAGTAGCACACAGCAACAACAGATTCATCGAATACAATAGAAGATTAGTCTCCGAATACAATTCATCATATTAGTCTCCGAATTCAAAAGACCGAACGAAGATAAAACATTACAAGTCTCGAGACCGCGAGTATCGAGTTTGTCTTCACATTACAAGTCGATATCGATCATCTAAACTACCATCACATAGAAGAGAGCTGCGGTCATCACGATGAGCATCATCGCGATGAAACTGGTCTTCATCCGGTTCCTCCAACGCTCCCTCCTCTCTCCCGCTAGATAGCGGGCGTATCTAGATTCCGCCTCTGCCCTAGTGGTGTATCCTTTGTAACTGTTACCGCTGAAACGGTGAACCTGTCTCCGACACTCCTCCCAGTCGTCGTAGACTCCGGGAACCTTACCCTTGTACACGACATACGATGGCATCACTATGCACAAGCCAAACAATAGACAATACATACATAAGCAATATATAAGTATGCAACAAAAGGATCGGAAGAGAAAAGCAAGACATGACATTAATAACACGATTCATGGTCCTACTAATAAATAACATCGATTATATCTAAGTTGAACGACTGTCCAAACCAAAGAGACATACAAGTTCATTAAAGTTTAATTACAACATGAGCCAATCAATGTTTCAGAACTACACATAGCATCACTACTGTCGACTCGACTCATGGGACCGGAGCATGGATGAAGCCGCCGTCTGTCGTGATGGTCATGAAATCGCGGGCATTGTCAGCCTGCATTTGTAGCGTTCCGTCTATCTCCCTGTTGGACGGTTGATATCTGAGGTAGAACTGCCCCGAGGTATGAAGGACATCTTGATGGATGATGTCCGCAAACTCCGACTGGATGCGAAAGAATTCTTGTCTGATGTCCGCGTCCTGGATTGCCGACAAGCTCGCGGCCCAATCTTTGAGATCATTTGGTAGCAAAAGGTGATGATGGCCCCTTACGATCGCCCGCATGTGATGGAGGGCGTAGTAGGCATCCTTCTGACCGCCAGGCGGCTGCTTGACGCAGCAGAACATCGTATTATGGGCGAACACGTGCTTGCCGTATTTACAAACTGCCCTGGTGAAGGTGCCTCCAGATTTGGCGTAGCCGGGGAGAACATCATCAAGAACTTTCTTAATATTTGTGTAGTCTATCTTGGAGTTACGGTTCGGGTCGAAATACGTGGCCATGGAATATTTCGGGCTTAAGAGGATGAGTGTGCAATGTGTGTCACTGCACAGAACACGGAATGTTAGAAAAAAAAGAACGATCGAAATCTAAGAAATCATATGTTACAGGGCGGTTAAGGGATGACTTACTCGGGAAAGTAAGCCACAAGGAAGTTATCCTTATCTGGGTTTGCCAGAATGACGTCTTCGAGGTGTGAACTCGCGACTTGGCGGTCCCCAGTGCTGCTCAAGAGCTTGGCACACATGTAGAAGGGGTCGACGATCACGATGCCCGGGGTCTTGTCTCTAATGATCCGCATCTCCATACTCAGCGAAAACAGCCGAACAAAGGTGTAGTGCAGCGGATGAAGGTTAAACATAACAAAGATGTCATCAAACCGCAGGACGATCGTACCCCCGATGTCGCCATCCACAAAGCCCTTGCCCTCTGGCACCTTGGCCACGAAAACCGGGTATGCCACATCATTCTCTCTTAGACGCCGCTTCTCCAAAGAAAGAACACTGTCGTGCAGACTCCGCATAGCACCGGTTGCAGCATTGAGCATATTTGTCGGTAGCATCTCCCTACCTGCCACATGCACCCTCCTCGAGATATCCTTAGGTGAAGGTGGCCCGTCTTGAGCACGGATCATACTCGGTGCCGACTGGCTCGCATCGGCGCCCTTTTTAGTCTGCCGTTTCCGGCTCTTCTTCTTGTTCTGTTGTAATGGGACCGAGTTCTGCTCAAAGACCGCCTTCTTGAGCGTGTTGGGGCTGATAATATTTCGCACCTCAGCTATCTGAGGCTCGGTGAAGGCGGCAGCTAGAGGCATCTCCTGAGAACTGAACGCCAGACGACGCCTGTTGCAACTGGGTTTCTCCGACGTACCAGCTAGATCGCGGTCGTATTGGTTGGGTTCTTGAGAAGGAGGCCCGCAGAACTCGTCATCGTACCCATGTCCGGCAAAGTACTTATCGACGTTGGTAAATGTACTGTTGTCGTTGTCGTCCGGATCTTGTGCCATATGCATGTCCGGATCCTGTGCCATAGGGATGTCCGGCATGTCCGGTAGCGTTGCGGCATTCTTGCCATGGCTTGGCGCCAGCACGACTGGCGGTCTTGTCTGTGGGGTGGTGTCCCCCGCCCCCAAACGAATCTGGCTCTTCGGCCAAAGCAGGGGCCAACTTATATAGGCACTGAGGGTCATCTCATCTTCTTCATCGGCCCCAGCGGGTCGAATCGGAGGTAACAGCTCGTCACAGCCTGGCAGCACCCGAACCACTTCAACCCTATACATTGTGGGTGGCATCGGATTACCGTGGAACACGGGGTTGCCCGGTTGAACGATTCTGCCCTTGGCGACATCGACCAACTCGCCGTCCATGAAGTGTAGGAGAGTGCAAGGAACGTCGGCGGCGCTCTGCGAAAACATGTAGGGCGTCAGGGATGGCCAGTCAAAGGCAAGGAGATGAAGTCCTCGGCCGAGAGGCTTAGTTACTGTGATGCCGTCGAGCTCGGCTAATGTCGAGGCACCACCAACGGCGGGCGTGCAACTGACGGAGGGGCTGCTTGCTGGCGAG